AGACTTTACAAGGTCAATTTATTTGAGATAGAATATTAGAGGTTTCTAGCGTACTTGTGCACTGATCTGGATAGCCCAGGTAGTATTGAGACTTCCAAGGATTAGCAGGGTCGTGACGCAGAGGCTGGCAAGCCACCGCTGAATGTCTTTTGCCTTGAAAGTCCTATGGGGTAGCCATAAGTTAGCTGTAACATGATGGAAAAAACAACAAAAACCATGATTGTAATATGTCTTTATTTACAAATAGGAATGGATGACTGGAGCAAATAGGAATATATACTTGATTTAACATTACTGCCCTGAAACAAATGCCTACTGTTATAAGGCCAAACTGCACAACACTTTTTAAATGTACAGTATTTTGTACATGTACAGCTATTAAAAGGGAGGGGATATCCCTGCGGCTATTTGGGCTCAGGAAAATGGTGCTGGGAAGGTAGGAGCTGGTCTTCCCCTTGTGCTGTGTTTCCAGGCCAAATTGGGCTCCCACAGAGGTCTCAATGGATGTTCCATTCAGCTGCTGTGAGGAAAGCAAAATTGGGACTGGAGAACTGAAACTTGAAAACATCTCATGTAGTCTCTTCAATAGTTCCGTTCCTGTCAGGGCTTTTTTTGTAGAAAAAGCCCAGCAGGAACTCATTAGCATAATAGACCACACCCAACAGAAAAACTTATTAGCGTATTAGGCCACACCCATGACAGCACAGCTCATTAGCCTATTAGGCCACACTCCCATGCCGGCCCTTGGCTTGGACAGGCGAGAAAGGCATGAGGAGGCATATAAATGCCTCCCTGATCCTTCCAGGCCCACCCGCCTTGGAGTCACCTGGGAGGGTTGCTCTCCAGGCTTTCCCTCTGTACCACGCACACAGAGGTTTTGGCTCTAGTGGGCGTGGCCAACTCTGAAGCCAGCCGGAACTCCATTCCTGTGCGTTCGTACCCAAAAATAGCCCTGGTTCCTGTCAAGAGAGAAGCCATCTTAGAGGAAAAATCCAGCTAAAACTCTCACTCTGACTGCTTGTGTGTGTCTGCCAATCTCTCCCCCCCCCCCCCTTCTTCTTTCCAACGTACTTCCAACACACGGGGTTAATTAGCTCACACAGTTCAGTTATGAATCTGGTATGGGTGGGGGGAGCTCATTCTCACTCCAGAAAGCTCCATGGAGACAGTCCCTGTGATTGGTTGGGAAGGTCAGGAGGTTATTGCTGGTGTTGTTTATATAAATAAAGACTATAGTACAAGGAACTCCTTTGCATATTAGGCAATATACCCCTAATGTAGCCAATCCTCCAGGAGTTTACAGAGCTCTTCTTACAAGGGCTATTGTAAGCTCTTGGAGGATTGGCTACATATGGGGTGTGTCGTTTAATATGCAAAGGAGTTCCTGCTACAAAAAGAGCCCTGAGAAAGAACATTTCCCATCTTATCCTTTTTCTTCCACCTACCACACTTGTTGCCTGAAGATACTCTGTGTAAGCTCTGGAATACTTCAGCTGTAAGAACCAGTATTGCTGTTGGTAGGATAAATAAGTAGAATAGCCAGCCTTTTGTTGTTAACTGCATTATGACTTCACTGAACTATATGTCTCGCTTCTAAGAACTTATTATTGAGTTTCTTCAATAAAGATTTTTGCTTCTGGGGAGTGACCTCAACCTGCCTGAGTTTGGTTACATTATTGGGAATTGCCTTATGCCTTATGTAGTGGCCTTATACATTGCTTTATCAAGGACATTACTATCTGTTCTAACTGGCAACAACTCTCCAAAGTCATAAGTAAAAATCATCGACTACTTGTAGATCTTTGTAACTGGATATGCTGGGAATTGAACCTGGACCTTATGCATGCAAAGCAGATGGTCTAACAGTGAATACAATCCCTCTAAAAATCTACACAAACATTCACAAATCTATACAAAGGGGATATAGTTGAAAATATTTCCCCAAAACAGAGAACACTTTTGACTCAGCCCTATTCAAAAGAAATATCTTGGGTGGCTTTGTGTGCCTGTGGGTAGAACATTCATTGAATTGATTCCATTAAATTTAAATGTGTGCTGAATAGGCTTCTATTTGTTATAATGAACATGAAAATGCATTCTACTTGTTTAAAGAAATGTATTAGCTAGTCACCTTCAATGTTCTTTTCTCCATGTCTCAAATCTTCCTTGAAATTTCTGCACTGTTTTCTAGATGATAAAAGGCATACTTTTTGGGTTTTTGTGTTCAAACAATCTGTGCCAAAGGCAAAAAAATGAGATCCATATGCATTACGTTATACATTACATGTGCATGTTCATCTATCTCAATAACTGACTGTCATCTCTGTATGCATATGTCTTGCAGTGATAATAAGAGCCCTATCTTCCCCAAAGTGTCAAGTTTTCAGGGATAGATTTCTAGCTGTAGGCGGCTTTACCACTTCACATTGTGAACATTCTCGTTCCAGTGGATGGTCGTATTAGACTGCCTAATACAGCTTTATAGAAGTCTTGCTTTTACTACCACATGTGCTTCAGTCCTCAGTCTGAATTACTATCATTTGTGATCTTAAGCCTCTGCTTTGTTAACTTTGAAACGAATCATGAAGTGGAAGTTGGAGAATATATAAAACTGAGCTATTTCATAAGAGTGATATGAATGGCCTTTGAAAGATAAGCACTGAAAATTACAATTCTTCTGTGGAAATATGGGATGCAACATGAGAATTTTTACAATTATGTCATTAAAGTAATATTAAAATATTGATCATTGCCTTAAATCATAGCTTTAAATACTGTTTTAAAACTGAATTGCTCACATATAATAATGAACTTGCAATGTTATGATGAAAACATTTCAGTAAACCAACTATGTATAACTGTCATAAAAATATAACCCGGTAGGTGTAGAATACTTTGAACTGCTGCTATGAATTCTGCTGGCTCTGTCAGTATTAAGAATATAGAGAGCTACTGGATTACACCAAGGATGTGTTATCCATTTAGCACAATAATCCAGGTGTTACCAAATGTAGTTAAGAAATACAGGAATACTATATGACCCATTTTTCAATTCAAGGCCAAATCTACACAAATAATCTTGCGTGTAAGAAAGAAAACCTTCCTTCTGTTTTTTTCCTCCTAAACTAAATCTGCTGCTGGCCTAGGTTCTACATCTGGTTTAATGTTTCCCTCTAATTTAGGCAGCAAACCACACAAGACCTATAAGATCTTCACCACAGTGGTATGGTGCCTGTACAAAGTGGAAGGAACACCTAAGAAAACAGAAATAAAATTTATTGAAGGGAATAATACAAATATCTGGACTGGGGAATTAGTAAAGTCAAGCAGCCAGACCTTTTTAAACTGGACTTTCTGTTGACATTTGAATTCTCAAAGCAATATCCTTGGTAAAATGGATCATTCTATTATGACCAATGTGGTGTGGTGGTCAGACTGATGGACTGGCATCTGGGAGACCTCGATTTGAATCCCCACTCTAGGTGACCTTGGGCAAGTCACTCACTCAGCCCACCCAGACGGTTATTGTGAGGATGAAATGGAGGTAAGGAGAATTATGTCAGCCACTCTGTGATCCAACTGGGGTGAAAGGCATGTATAAATGAAATAAGTAAAACAAATGGGGAATGGGGATTTTTAAAATTGCTTCAGGTCTCAAGGCCGTAGACATCAGTGAGGACTTCACCTCCGGCTTTCAACTGTGTGCCCTCTAGCACATCTAGGGTTCCTTTTTGCTGTGACCAACATGTTGGGAATTAGAGGTATACTTGTCTGTCACCTAAACCCTCTGGTTTTTTGTCTTTAAGAGACTCATATCTCAACTAAGAACCACACACTCAAAATGACCTGGACATCTTATTTGTTAGAGTTATTCAGGCTCTGTTGGCAGACATCTCCCTATCTGTTCATGTATTTTGGTAAATGTGAGCCAAAAGAACATCAGGTGTTTTTTGGACCATTGAATCTTTCTGAGCCTGAATTTAGATTGAAAAGGAGTATGTGTGGACCACATCACCAGAAAAATTTCCCATTTAAATGGGAACGGTATAGATGCTACATTTCATGTCACTTGTTATTTTCTTCATACAGTGAGATGAGAAGACAATGTGGAAGCCAGGGTGAGATTGTTCCTTAGACTATAATCGCTTTAGTATCTGTGCACTAAATGTCAGTACAGGAATATGATTTTGTTTCTCCATCCCACTGCAAAATCTTGTTTTACATTCCTTTGTGCTTAATGGGTGGCTTGCCATTTCAATTGTTACCTTTGAAAATGGTACAAAAATTCTGGATATTAATATTTTATTTATTTTGTATAATTTTTTCTGCTGAAGAAGGTGCTGATATCCAGCTTCACAATCACTGAGCCTCTCCTTTCCCAAGTTCTCGTTCCTTCAGGTGTTGGCATATTCTCAAATCTACCTTAGCAGCTGTAACAGATAGAATTTGCTTCGTTGTTGTTGTTGTTGTTGTTTTAAAAAAAGAGCTTTCAGAGTATGAAATACCACTACTTGTGCAACATACACATAGAGCTGTGTGCAATGTTAGGACTTTGATCAGAGTCTACAAGGGTAATTTTTCACTCCTTAACTTGGGCACTAAGTTAAGTCACTCACCTTCCATATGAAAAGATGTTAAATGTTGTGGTATTGATGTTTTTAGATTAAAAAAAACACATTAAGAATCCAATAGCCCCTTAAAGACTAAAAAAAATTATGGCAGGGTATGAGGTTTCATGAGGTTTCACTTCAGATACTGCTCACGTTTTCAGGTATCTGAAGAAATGAGCAGTGACTCTTGAAAGCCACAGATTTTGTTAGTCTTTAAGGTGCTACTGGACTCTTGCTCTTTTCTTTTGCTAAAGACGGACTAACACAGCTACCCATCTTAAAAATACCATTTATATTTATTTATCTCTTATTTTTTACAGGTATTTTGATCTAATTTGCCTCAGGACTTCATGAATAAATTAGTTACTTTTGATTTATTCCTTGTTTCAGATCAGAGGAGGAAAACTGATGATCACCTATACTAGGAAGAGTGATGCTGGCAAATATGTGTGTGTTGGAACAAACATGGTGGGAGAAAGGGAAAGTGAAGTGGCAGAGCTTACAGTTTTAGGTAAGGGGAGTTTCATCCTTAAGCTACATTGTCAGTAGAAATGTAAAAACAAAGCTGGATGCAGACGAGTCCCTCCCCCCCTTCAGTCTCATTCCCTGTCTTACCTCATGTGGCTTTTGTGTATGCATGTTCAGTGATCCCCAGCATAGCCTTTTGGGGTGTTTAAAGGGGAACCCTGCTTCCTTTTTAACCAGCAAGAAAGGTTGTTAGATCCAACACAGAATTCTTAAGTCAAACATTGAGTTAAGTTTAGAAGTTAGAAACAGTGTTTCCTTTATATCACTAATAATGTTAGTCTTATACTATGTACTTCATAAAAGAAACACACACGCACACACATGAAATATTCAGTAACCTATCAATAGACTCAGGTAATTCAGCTTCCTTGCTGGAAGGCTTTGTACATATGATCTGTACTAAATAAATCTAAGCAGTTGTAGTATATTTTGCTTGTTACTTTGGGAACCTGGGCTTACAAGGGACACTGATCAGGAACTTGTATACCTGTTGTAATCCCTATACTGTATTATAATAACAATAATATTTATGTGACAAGTTCTTCAGCTGTGACACACACAAGCCCTTACAACATGACATGGCATCATTTTGTTGTATATATCCCTTTCTCTGTTCCATGTGAATGACAACATGAGTGTTCTATATCGGTAGAATGCAAATTTTGAAACCAATTGGTGGAACAGAAACAATAGTAGGGGGGGAAAATCAGTTCACTTTTCTGCTGCTAGGGTTGCAAAACTTCCCCAAAATATTTCCAGGTGTTTCAATGCCATAACTTTTAGTCCAACTCATAGTGATGGTCTGGCTATAATCCTGCTCAGGCAGCCATGTCGAAGTATTGCTTGGTGGGATTTCCATGTGTTAATTTGTATCCTTTATCACCCAGTAGGAAGACAAAGACTTTTACTGATACAAATTAAATGATTTATTAAGCCATTATGAAGAACATACTTTAAAAAAGCAACTAAACATACAATAGTAAATGAAGAAAGGAAAAAGAATGAAGAAAGGAAAAGCAAAACAATATGTGTGTACAGAGAAGATAAATGGATTGGATAAATGAATGTCCTCTGTGCCCCAGTAGGAGTTGCCAGAGGTTGCCATGACTTCCAAGCATGGGCGCGCACACACAGTGCATAGATACCAGCAACACCCTGTCACTCTATCACTGTAGCCTCAGAAAACATCTGTTTCTCAAATAATATCCTCAAAAAGGATATTATAGCATTGGAAAAAGTGCCGAAAAGGGCAACTAGAATGATAAAAGGGTTGGAACACTTTCCCTATGAAGAAACACTTGGGGCTCTTTAGCTTGGAGAAACCACGGCTGAGGGGTGACATGACTGAGGTTTATAAGATTATGCATGGAATAGAGCAGGTAGAGAAAGAAGTACATTTCTATATATGTCAATACAAGAACTTGTGGGCGCTCAATGAAATTGCTGAGCAGTCGGGTTAGAACAGGTAAAAGGAAGTACTTCTTTACCCAAAGAGTGATTAACACATGGAATTCACTGCCACAGGAGGTGACAGCGGCTACAAGCATGGACGGCTTCAAGAGGGAATTAGATAAGCATATGGAGCAGAAGTCCATCAGTGGCTATTAGCCACAAGGTATAGATAGGAACTCTCAGGCTGGGGCAAGTGATGCTCTGTATTCTCGGTGCTTGGGGGGGCAACAGTGGGAGGGCTTCTAGTGTCCTGACCCCACTGCTGGACCTCCTGATGGCACCTGGTATTTTTAGCCACTGTATGACAGAGTGTTGGACTAGATGGGCCATTGGCCTGATCCAACATTGGCTTCTCTTATGTTCTTATGAAAAAATATGAAGTTTCAAGAGATAAAATTCATTTTGTTCTAAATGACAGAAAAAAGGCAAAAATCTACCAATGCACTGAAAAGAGATATTAAAAAATCTTATTAAAACATTGTAATGCCATATATAAAAATGTTGTGTTCCCAACACGTTTTGCTATCAGTTATTCATGGGATCTTCTAGTTAATTGTATCTTGGAACGGACTGGTTAAAAGCAGAGTTATTAGAATGAACAAAATTTCTATCATTTCTATCATTTTTATTTCACATTTATTTCCTTAGAAAGACCTTCATTTGTGAAGAGGCCAAGTAATTTGGCAGTAATTGTGGATGACAGTGCAGAGTTTAAGTGTGAAGCACGTGGTGATCCAGTTCCTACAGTAAGATGGCGAAAGGATGACGGAGAACTACCTAAAACAAGGTACAGTATTCTTTAGTCCTCATTTGGAAATAGTAAGGCTGCTATTGGTTTGTAACTTGCTGTGTCCTTGTCCTGAAAAGGTTGTAATGACCCTGGTAACTTTTCTTAGGATCATATTGTAATTGTCATTCTCCTCTTTAAAAATGGCTGGCAGAATAATGATTTGAACTGAAATGTTTAATAGCCTGTGATAATGTCAAACACAGCAAATTTCATTTTGTGTGTGATATAACTAACTCCATACTTAAAAGGAAAATGTATGACTGTTAATAGACAAATGTATAAAATGTATTGTAGCAGCATTAAGTAGCTGTACTAACAATGAAAGACAATGCTGAATTATTATTTTAAAGGTGGTCTTAAAAAAAGCTCTGAGTTCATGTCTTCTGGCCATTGCTGTAACCAAAGTGTAAAAAAATACATGTAGAATAGAATGATTTGGATAAAATGAGAAGGTCCAGTTTGACCACCAAGAAGTCACTTTGAACCTGAAAAAGCATCAAGGATCATGCATGGAAAAAAAGGCATGTAGAGCTGGAATTGCAGTAAGAAAACAATTGGTCAAGGTCAAACTAAAAGCTGGCTAATTAAAACCCAGTATGTTTAATAAAAGGATCATTTCCTTATTCAAAAATCCTAGTTTTATATATATAGTATGTTTTCTCTTAACAGGTACAATAATACCTTTACCAATTGGATCCACTTTTGTTATGTATCTAAATGTTGCCCATAAAACCCATGTACTATTTGCCTTTAAATTCTAGTCCATACACAATGATCCTTTTCTCGGTGTGATGGAAGTACAGAGTAGGTTCTCTGTATGAACAGGCCATCTAAAAACTTATCACAGAATATGAGCAATCAAACACACACACACACAAGTAGGATCTCCTACAGATTAACAAAGCCAACCTGGAAACTCACGTGGGAGGAAGAACTAGTACATCTCTGGAGGTTTTCAAACAGAGGCTGGATGGCCATCTGACAGCAATGCTGATTGTGTGAACTTAGGCAGATCATGAGAAAGAGGGCAGGAAGGGTTGTCTCAGTGTTTAGTTCTTGTGACCCTTTCTTACACACCCAGGAAAATGCTGATTGCCACTTTGGGGTCAGGAAGCAGTTTTTCTCCAGGCCAGTTTGGCCAGGGATCCTGGAGGTTTTCTGTCATCTTCTGGGCATGGAACGGTGGTCTCTGCGGAGGGGGGGGACATATTTATGAATTCCCTGCATTGTGCAGGGGGTTTGACTAGATGACCCTGGAGGTCCCTTCCAACTCTATGATTCTATGATCTGAAAAAAGGCATTGTTTGTGGATTGTTGGTTTTTCCTTATATCTGCATTTTAATGAAGGGACAAAGTCATGCCTGTATCTTAATACATTTAATTCCTTTTTTGATACTAAAGCTATTACAGGCAGTAACCTGATTCCAGAAAAGTTAAATTGAATACTGTCTTTGTTGAATCTCTTCCTGTTTATTTGGTTGTTTATTTCAATAATTTCCAGAAAGAAAAATGGTATGATCAGGCTGCTCATGCGCAACAGGATGCTACACACAACTTGTTCTGCATGGAACACTTGGAGGATGATGCACATTAATAACCCACTGGATCAGACGAGCGGTCCATCTAGTCCAGCATCCTGTCTCACACAGTGGCAACCATCTCTTCCTGTTTATTTGGTTGTTTATTTCAATAATTTCCAGAAAGGAAAAATGGTATGATCAGGCTACTCATGCGCAACAGGATGTTACACACAACTTGTTCTGCATGGAACACTTGGAGGATGATGCACATTAATAACCCACTGGATCAGACGAGCGGTCCATCTAGTCCAGCATCCTGTCTCACACAGTGGCAACCAGCTGTTCTGGTGGGCCAGCAACAGGGCATAGAGGCCCAGACCTTCCCCTGGCTCTTGGATTCAAAGTTTTGTGGCTCTGAATGTGGAGGTTCCCCTCAGTTACCATGGCTAATAGCCAGTGATAGACCTATCTTCTATGAAACTAGCTAATCCCCATTTAAAGCTGTGATTTTGTTTGGCCATCACTACATCCTCTAGCAGCAATTTTCACATTTTAATCACTCTGTGTGTAAAGAAGTACACTGGGACTTTTCTGTTTAGAAAAGAGACAACTAAGGTGGGGGTATGATAGAGGTTCTTTCTATCTATCTAGTACTGCTCATATGGCTATCACCTTAAGCAGAATCAGAACCAACAAAAATAATTTAATATTATTTATCTTATAAAATGATAGAGGTTTATAAAAGTATACATTGGGTGGAGAGAGCTGACAAAGAGAACTTTTTTTCCCCTCTCCCAAAATACTAGAGCTTGAGGGTATCAAATTAAGCTGATGGGAGTTTCCGGTTTAAGTGTTTCGCCGCTTGGACATGTCCCATCTCGCTCTGATGGGGACACGCTGAGACCTGGCTGACGGTAAGGGTCTGAGTTCGTACCGGACCTCCCCGGGGTCTCTGTAGGAAACCCTCAGCCCGGGGAGCTGAGGAGAGCCACTTCCAAGGCGACGCGACTGCCGGAACAAGCAACCACGATCAAAACTTTAAAATGCTTCCAAAAGATCTCCAGGTCTCCAAACTGTGAGTTAAGCAATGCTCAGGTGAAAAAGCGAACGGACCTTGGTAGTAATTGGAAGCGCCTAAGTTTGAAGCGTGGAGGGAAAGGGACCAAGCACCTTTCCCCCTCTCTTTTTGAAAAAGATTTAAAAGCTGTTTTAAATCAGAAATAAAAAGACTTAGAGCTAAAATAAGCGCATAAGAAGTTAAGCGAATGCAAAAACTGCCAATGTAATACAAAGCAGATTTACATTGTATAACTTTTGCCTTGTTTTGGAAAACTTACTTCTTGTTGATATTATGGCTGGGAGAGGACGGAGGGCGCCGGAGAAAAAAACTGGTGACTGGAAATAACATACCAACGACTCTCTCTCAGAACCAGTAAGTAACTACAGACTTTTCTTCACTGTTAGCAAATGCACTG